ATTTTTTTTAAATTAAATAAAGTTTTGCAAATTAATTATACTTTCTAAATGGCATTACTTCAATGTAATTGCCCTTTCACACCTTTTGACCAGTTGACAAGGGATTAAACATCCCTTATATAATCTATATTGTCTGCAAAGTCTAAAATCCTTCTTTATTTAACTTGTCTGCAAAATCCCTCTATGTTTAACTTGTCTGCAAAGTCGTCTGCAAAGTATACCGACCCGTATAAACCGGGCAAGGAGCTTGAATCATAAAATGCTAAAATCTTGCCTTTTACCCAACGGAATGAACTTTAATAGGTCAAATTCATCTTTTCATACCGATTTATGTATGATAATGAATGAAAATATAAAAATCGGCGAAAAAAAACCCGATACTGGCGATAGGCCTATTTCTCTATTTTGTGGGTCGCACTAAACTGCTGACGAATTAGCTGACGATATAGATATATAGGAAACTGCTGACCAGTTAAATAAAGAAGGATTATCGGAAAATGCTGACCGGTTAGATAAAGAAGGGAAACATTGAAGGTGTGAAGTTATATAAACACGCCGTAGGGGGTAATAAAAAGATGGGAAATTACTTTTATTCTTTCAATTATATTTTTAATTTTTGCATTTATATGACTATGTTTATAAACTAAATTAATATATACATTTAAAGTACCATAATATCATACATTTTAACACAGTTTACATTACTATATGTAATATAAATCCGTGATTTTAAAAGGATATATTAAACAGCTTTTTATTAAGATATGCAAAAATTTCAATTAATGTTTTATAAAGAATTATGATGTTATGAGTTTTATCAAAATCTCTTGTTAGTGATATTTCAATAGAAAAATCTTGGAACGGAAAAAAAATGTATTTTCTAAAGCAATAATTGCAATTTGAATCAACATTAAATTAGTCAGCAGCGTTTTTACTTAATTAAATGTCGACATGACTTTATATAATATATTAAATGTGCATACATTATAAAATGAGTAACAATTTCACGGCAAAAAATATTTTTCTCTATATATCTAACTGGTCAGCAGTTTCCCTATATATCTAACTGGTCAGCAGATTCTACTATATGTTTAACTGGTCAGCATTTTCTCGCCTGAATGTAAAGAGCGTTAAATTTGCTGACCATATAGAATAAGAAGAGTTTTACGGCTTAAATCAATTTGAATTAACATTAAATTGGTCAGCAGTGTTTTTACGTAATTAAATGTCGACATGATTTTATAAAGTATATTAAATTTGCATACATTATAAAATGAGTAACAATTTCACGGCAAAATATATTTTTCTCTATATATCTAACTGGTCAGCAGTTTCCCTATATATCTAACTGGTCAGCAGATTCTACTATATGTTTAACTGGTCAGCATTTTCTCTATCGCCTGAATGTAAAGAGCGTTAAATTTGCTGACCATATAGAATAAGAAGAGTTTAACGGCTAAAATCAATTTGAATTAACATTAAATTGGTCAGCAGTGTTTTTACGTAATTAAATGTCGACATGATTTTATAAAATATATTAAATTTGCATACATTATAAAATGAGTAACAAGTTCACGGCAAAATATATTTCTCTCTCTATATCTAACTGGGCAGTTTCTCTATATATCTAACTGATCAGCAGTTTCCCTATATATCTAACTGGTCAGCAGATTCTACTATATGTGTAACTGGTCAGCATTTTCTCGCCTGAATGTAAAGAGCGTTAAATTTGCTGACCATATAGAATAAGAAGAGTTTTAACGGCCTTAAATCAATTTAAATTACACATTAAATTGGTCAGCAGTGTTTTTTTTACTTAATTAAATGTCGACATGATTTTATAAAATATATTAAATTTGCATAATGAGTAACAATTTTTCGTGTTGCAAAACATATTTTTCTCTATATATCTAACTGGTCAGCAGATTCTACAAAATGGTCAGCATTTAAATAACATATTTTGGACTGTTTTATTGTATTTTGTCATAGATAAATCAAGAATGACACGTCGCGTGTGAAATCGATTTTAAATATGACCTTGGGGCATATCGATCTCGATAAATTATCAGTTTAATGGATATCTGTAGAAACGTGTTGTTTATAATGTAATAAAAGCTTATTAACTATAACAATTAGCACATTATTAATTATTGTTCAATATTACTTATACAAATTATACGAACAACAAATAAGCAAACAGAAATCACTTTATTTCATATTTGCACTAAATACGACATAATAATTATATTTTGTTTAAAATATACATTACATTATATGTACATGTATATATTTTTTAACCCTATGATGCATAGTTTTATACATACTTGAAACAAATTATGAATTTTTCGTACATCATATTTTGACTCCCATTTTTAAAATTTTTAACCAATATATATAACACATAGAAGAAAAATTCATTAAGGTACTTAAATAAAATATTATATCAAAAGAAATTGGGAGAAATATACAGTACATATCAATTGAAATTTTTATAATTGATATGTTATCATTTTGTAATATTGACATCTTGAAAAACATTTATCAAGTATTTCTCGACCTCGCCTGTTTAACACCAACGGCAATTTGAAACCCTTCATTGTTTTCCCTTCTTTATCTAACTGGTCAGCAGTTTTCGATAATCCTTCTTTGTTGAACTGGTCAGCAGTTTCCATTATATTCTATATCGTCAGCTAATTCGTCAGCAGTTTAGTATCGCCCCTATTTTGTGATCATGATTTCTGCAAGCGTCTAGAGGTACGTACTGCTCCAATCCTGTAATGAGTTTAATCCCCTTTTCGAAAGGAATTAACTCAATACAGGATTGTTTGTAAAGGAGTTTCAACAACTTAATGCAATATCATTTGAAGTCAAGCTATATACACGCAGATATTACTTCTAATTTCTCTTATTTATGAGGGTTTATAAAAAGATATCCAGATAAAAGATAAATCAAATTTTTTGAAGTTCTACAGTTGATTGCATTGGATAATATTATTTTTTATTCAGTACATATCATATTCATAATTCACCATCTGAAATTTAGTCCCAATCTGTTTGATTATAAAATGTGAAAATAACTTTTATATGCCTTTTTAATCTGGTTCTGAATAAGACACAATTCTAGATTTTTAATTTGCTATAGCTTTGGTTAGGGTCTGTCAAAGAATGCATAGGATAATCTAAATTCTTACTTAAGTTACTAGTCCTAAATTGATATGCCAAATTACAAAACAATGCTTCTTTTTATCTTTCTTTTTAATTCATGACAATTACTAGTATTTGAACAAAACTTTTTTATAATAACAACAACAAATGGATGTGATGTCAAGTCATAACAGCAAAAATTGTAGACTTCTTGCAATAGCTTAAAACGTTGTCATACTTATCTATGACCACACTCAATTAAGGCTTTACAATATTCAAATGCTATTAGAGTCATCAAAACTACTTCAAGTTCAAAGCATACAAATGTAATTTTAAAGGAATTTTCTTCTGTTCTATGTTGTAAAATTTAAAAGATAAAGAACTATAATACTGTGAATTCATAATATTACTTAATGCAACAATAAGCTAAGTCAAGTAAGACTAGTTTTGCACTAGTGATTTTTTGTGTGTTGAAAAAATGATTGGTGCAAAACTCATACTAACTTGACTTAACCCAGTTTTGCAGTAACTAATTTGATCAGTTTGACTTAGCATGTTTACTTAAAATTTAAATATAATTATTAATACATGGAATATGTTCAACATATTTTCAGGGATAAAGGGATGTTTAATTAGCTTTCAGAATTTATCAAAAGTCCTTATAGGTGAAATATGGACTTAGCTGAGTTTTGCGCTGAGCCATCAAATTATTTAAAAAGTTTGTTAAAATTTGTGATTTTTATGATGGGGTTTGTATAAAGAGCTATAGATGATGAGTTTATTTGGAACATGGTTGTACTGATACATATTTACCAGTACCACTGTACCAGTGCTGATACATATTTACCAGTACCACTGTACCAGTGCTGATACATATTTACCAGTACTAGAACTGATACATATTTATTATCTGTCAAATAAACTCAGATACATTGTATGTATATTTATTATGAATGATATAAAAGAGAGATACCTCTTAATTTGACTTATAAGGATCACCATCATTTGGCAAGGATTGTAACTATTTATTATTACACAGCAAATACAAATGTATGATAATTTTTGTGCAAACACACTAACTGTTTAAGCTTCACGGTGCATTAGTTATCATTTTGTAAAAAAAGATTAAATTTGAATGAAAACAGCTGTTACAGTGTGGAAATATAACATTTAATTTTGAATGCTACCTATAGCTATGTTTGTTGTTTAAATATTGATGTATGGATGATCAGAATGTGTTTCTCATGCAAACAGAAATTGTACTTCCGATTTAGCCACAATGAGGTTTCAGGTTTTTATGCTTTGTTTGTCTTGACACCAAAATAAGATCTAGAGTCGATATGAAAACCAATTTATTAAAGTGGCATTATGCCCATCCAAGGGTATATAGTGAATAAACAGGTGAAAATCGAAATAACTTTACATTTTGCCATAAATCCTTTCAGTTTTCAATTTATTCCGCATGAACAATAAAAAAACTCATATAGCTCAGAAAGTTTTGTAAATATCCATCGGAAATAACATGTAACGTTCAATTTGATAAAAAGTGTGGGGCAGTTTTTATATATTTTAGGCAAATATATATTTTATCCCCAACTTTTTTCTTATATCAACTGACTGTTGGTCAATCATCATTATTGTCAATCTTTTGTAATTTATAGTCAATTAAGCTCAACTTTACATTGAAAAAATGAGCATAATGTCACTTTAATAAAATGTCGCTATTTCTGTTTTATGAAATTTATTAATTGCAGTTTTATAAGGTATTGAACGGATTAACAAAATTTCCACTAAATAAATATATTTTTACAAATGTTTACTAACAGTTGCTTGTTTCTTTCTTTTTATCTAAATAGTAACAATCAAGTGGTACCAGTAGAAAGCAACAACAACAAAAACACTGTTGAGCAGAGGTACAGATACAATATGTGTGTGTGTGTGAAGAAATATGTTGTGATTTGTAGACGCATGTGCGAAACCACTCTTGAAAGAAAACCAGTGCTTTGGACCATGTGATCATTTATTTTCCTTACTGAATTTTCTTAGTGCATTGAAACGTCATCTTTACAAACGAGTGAGTTAAAGTTTTGTTTGTGAATATTCTTGTATTCGAAAATGCGACCTGAAGAAACACGTGGCTGAATATCCAGTTAAAAAGAATTATTTTATCAATCATTGTAGAAAATAAGAAACCTCAAAATACATTGTCAATCAGTGGGTTTTTAAATCATTCTACTTTGTAGAATTCACTTCAAGTAATATATAAAATGTCTACTAGTAAGGAAAGTTTCAGATGTAAAATATGTGATCGGTTTTTTTCATCTAGTAGTAGTCTTAAACAACATATGACAATACACACTGGTGAGAAGAATCATAAATGTGAAATATGTTATAGTTCATTTTCTAAGAGCAGTTATCTTAAACAACATATGACAGTACACACTGGTGAGAAGAATCATAAATGTGAAATATGTCATCGTTCATTTTCTCAGAGAGGTAATCTTAAAACACATATGATAGTACACACTGGTGAGAAGGGCCATAAATGTGAAATATGTCATCGTTCATTTTCTTATAGAAGTAATCTTAACCAACATATGACAATACACACTGGTGAGAAGAATCATAAATGTACAATCTGTCATAGTTCATTTTCTCAGAGCAATGGTCTTAAAGAACATATGACAAAACACACTGGTGAGAAGAATCATAAATGTGAAATCTGTCATAGTTCATTTTCTAACAACAGTAAGCTAAAAAGACACATGACAATACACACTGGCGAGAAGAATCATAAATGTGAAATATGTCATCGTTCATTTTCTCAGAGCAGTAGTCTTAAAACACATATGACAATACACACTGGTGAGAAGGACCATAAATGTGAAATATGTCATAGTTCATTTTCACATGATTGTGATCTCAAAAGACATATGACAAAACACACCGGTGAGAAGAATCATGAATGTCAAATATGTCATCATTCATTTTCTACAAGCAGTAATCTTAAGCAACATATGACAATACACACTGGTGAGAAGAATCATAAATGTGAAATATGTCATCATTCATTTTTTTACAGCAGTAATCTTAAACAACATATAACAATACACACTGGTGAGAAGAATCATATATGTGGAGTATGTCAAAGGTCATTTTCTCAGAGCAAAAGTCTTAAACAACATATGACAAAACACACTGGTGAGAAAAATCATAAATGTGAAATATGTCGTCGTTCATTTTCTCATAGCAGTAATCTTAAAAGACATATGACAATACACACTGGTGAGAAGAATTATAAATGTGAAATATGTCATCGTGCATTTTCTATTAGCAGTAATCTTAAACAACACATGATAAGACACACTGGTGAGAAGAATCATAAATGTGAAATATGTCATCGTTCATTTTCTCATGCCAGTACCGTTAAACAACATATGACAATACACACTGGTGAGAAGAATCATAAATGTGAAATATGTCATAGTTTATTTTCTCAGATCAGTAATCTCAAACAACACATGATAAAACACACTGGTGAGAAGAATCATATGTGAACTATGTCTTTGTTCAGTCAGGATGTAAATAGACATATGACAATACACACTGGTAAAATGAATTGTAAATGTGCAATATTAAATCATTCATTTACATTGGAGAGAAGAATAATGAATGAAATATGTCATGTGTCATTTTCTGAGAGCAGTGCGAAGACTTAATAGACGCATGACAATACACACCTTCAAAGAATAATCAATTTATCCTTTAAGGATCGTGGCAGCCGACATAGGCATATTAAGATCCATAGACCATACTAACAAAATTACATAAAAATGCAAATATTGCTAATTCGAGTGATCAAATACGTGTGAGAAGCAAACATGCCAGAGAACGCGCACAAGTGGAAAATTTTATAAATTCGATACATGTGATAAATCATTTTTTTACGAAAAGAGATCTTAAATCGCACGTTGAGATGCACATTTAAGTGAATAATTCTAAGTGCATTCAAACCGTTTTAGCACTATATCTATCATGCATATCGTATGCAATGCTATTAACTAATAACTATGGTATACTGCTGAGACCGAAAAACATGACATAGCAAAAAAAGCAGAAAGGCAGAAAGAAAGGAAAGTAAATAACACATGATACGCATATTATGTACGGTACTAAAAACTGTTGAATTTGAATACTACATTCTTCTGTTAAGCGTTAAATTTGAAGATTTGCCATTATTGTTGCGTACAATTGTAAATATTAATTTTTATACTATGTATGCATTTTTAGCTCGACTTTTCTATGAAAAGGGGAGCTATCCTACTCGCCCCGGCGTCGGCGTTGGCGTCACACCTTGGTTAAGTTTTTCGTACCACCCCACTTTATTTCAGAAGTATTACAAGTATGGCTTTGAAACTTACCATACTTGTTCACCATCATAACCTCCATCTACAGACAAGAGTACATAACTCTGTCAAGGTTTTTGACAGAATTATGGCCCTTTTTTGACTTAGAAAGTGTATTGAGCTTGGTTAAGTTTTTTTGTACCACCTCACTTTATTTCAAAACCATTGGAGGTATTGCTTTGAAACTGACCATACTTGTTTACCATCACGACCTTCATCAACAGACAAGAGGACATAACTCTGTCAAGGTTTTTGACAGAATTATGCCCCTTTTTGACTTAGAAAATACATTGAATATGGGTAAAATCCACTTATTGCCTTAACCCTTTGAGATATTGCTTTGAAACTTTTAATGCTATTTCACATCATTACCCCCATCTGTACGCAAGAGAAGGTAACTCTGTCAAGGATTTGTTTTAAAAATTAAGGCCTTTTATCGACTTAGAATCTTGGTTAAGTTTTTAGTACCAGTCCACTTTTGACTGAACTGTTTGAGATATTAATTTGAAAGTTGGAATACTTGTTTACAATCATGATTCCCAAACATGTCCAGGAGAAGGTAATTCTGTCAAAGATTTTATTTGAATTATGGCCCTTAACTGTCAATGTTTTGTATTATAGGCAAGCACTAAAAAAGTCGAGCGCGCTGTCTTACGGACAGCTCTTGTTAACCTCTGTTATTATGTCAACAAATATTTTATGTAATATCATTGTGAAACAATAATAAAAAAGCTCACATGTTATGTTGTTAAATGTATTTCTTAATTGAAATAGCATGTCAAAAGTCTTTTGTTAAACATATTTGGAAAGATGAGGAAAGGCTCTGTTTAAAAAAAAACATTGCATAAATGTTTTTTTAAACATAGCTTTTCCTCCTCTTTCCATTTGTGTACCAAAGACAGTAACTATACATCTACCTTTTTCCACATCTTTCCATATGTAAACCATTGACAGTACATGTATGTATCTTTAATTGTAATTATCATGGTTTACGCATGTCCAAAATATGCAATATTCATTATCATAGTTTACTTGTTTCCAAAATATGTAATATACATTATCATGGATTTACTGGGGTCCAATATATGTAATTGTTATTATGATGGTTTTACTTGTGTCCAAAATATGTAATTGTTATTATCATGGTTTTACTAGGGTCCAAAATGTGTTATTATACCCCCACCACAAAATGTGGGGGTGGGGGGCTATAATGAATTCGCTTTGTCCAAGGTCAAAAATTGACTCGGAAAATTTTCTTAAATTTTAACATGTACCTGGATATTTCTGAAACTAGCACACGTATTTGCTTGAAACTTAAAAGATATATGATGTCTCACAAATAAGATATGCAGGTCAAGTTTCATAACTCTGTATTGCATTTTGACAAAGTTATTTCCCTTTTAAGTCTTTAAATTTACATACAATCAATACTAGACAATGTGTCGTGTCCTCTCTTTAAATTCTATGCTTATGGAAGGATTTTCTTCAAACTTTACTTAAATGTTCACCCCAACTGGGCAATGTGCAGAACCTATCTTACCCTTGTGCCATCTTAAGGTCAAGGCCACACTTGAAGGTCAAAAATTGACTTAGAAAATGTTAAGTACATTGGGAAAATGAAAGGTTATTTGTAACTGTTTCGAACATGATTTGACAATATATATTTATACCATTGTCTATACAAATAGTCTTTTTTTCCCCAGAGATAATTTCTTTTCATGTATATGTATTTGTGCCACTTAAGTTATTCCCTTAACCACCTTTCCAAGTCGTCTTCTGTCAAAGACATTGGTGGGGGTATGAATCGCATTCAGCGATTAGAGTTCTAGTTAATTATTATCATGCTTTTCTCATGTTCTAAATATGTATTGTTTTGTCTTATACTGCCCTAATACTACATGTTTAGGGGGTGAATATTGTATATATGTTAATTTGTTAAAGCCAAATAAACAGTCAATTGAATATATAAGTTGTATAATTATGTTTGTTTATTTACACATAAAGTTTATTCAGTAAACAACATATTAGTATCCATACCCATGATATAACCCTTGAATATTCCACAAAAAACTGTAAACTTTACACATAAAAGTTTAATATTTTTTTCTGATAATAATATTTTATTTATTATAAGATACATGTAGTATTTATTCCTTCTATTCAAAATTAGATTACAGTAGAATCCTATATGAATTTTACACCGGCTGCCGGTACAGACCGGAATATCTAGCTCGAGGGTGACTGTTTACAGCGGTAACGAGACTCTTCCGAGTTTCCGCTAAACAGTTACCCGAGAGCTAGATAATCCGTCTGCACAGACAGCCAGTGTTTAATTCTTTTCTTGCATATGAATAATTTTATTGAACAAAAGGCAAATGCCTGTGAGTACATATATACATACATATAATACATGGATTTTTTATAATATAACATATCAATTATCAACAGAAATAATGAAAACTGATATTCTTATTACGGACTTTCTTCTTATAGTAGCGTATGAACTTACAACTTCATTCATAAAGGCAAAATGACGTCATCCTAAGAAAGCAATTCATTCATAAAAGGCGCGTGACAATGACATCATTTAAAGCACGTGACTTGTCTTACATGGGGATTTTCAAGCACCGGTGTTAAACGGTAGATAATCCTGTCAGATATGCAAGAAAGTGTTTTCTAGCACAGGTGTAAACGGTAGATCTATAATCCTGTCTGATATGCAAAAAATACTTAAGACCACCCCTGATTTTTAGCATGCATGTAGTCCGGCTAGAAATCAGCTCGTCAGGAAGGTTGTTTTGATGATTTCTAGGTCAAGTTCGAAGATGGGTCATGTCCAGTCAAAAACTAGATCACAGGAGCTAAAAATAGAAAAAGCTTGTTAACACTCTAGTGGCTGCAGTTCTTATTTAAATTTTCTGGAAATTTGTCAGGAAGGTTGTTTTGATGATTTCTAGGTCAAATTGGAAGATGGGTTATCTCCGGTCAAAAACTAGGCCACAGGAGCTAAAAACAGAAAAAAGCTTGTAAACACTAGTGGCTGAAGTTTTCATCTAAATATTCTGGAAATTTGTCAAGAAGGTTTTTTTGATGATATATAGGTCAATTTTGAATATGGGTTGTGTCCGGTCAAAAATTAGGTCACATTGCCCACATATGGAAAAACTTTTTAACACACTAGAGGTCACATGTTTGCCTCAGTTGTAATCAAACTTGGCCATGATGCTTGTTTAAGACATTGCTTGGATGCGGTTGTATCAGGTGAGCGATCCAGGGCCATCATGGCCCTCTTATTTACTTGAAAAATGTTATTTTTTACTCTAACTTCTTTAATTTTAAAGGAATCTACCTCAAACTTCAAATTCATATTCCTTATCATCAACAAAATCTTATGTGACAAGGTTCATAACTCTTGAAGCAATATTTTCAGATTTATCTCCCTTTGAACTCAGAAATTTCTCTAATAAATATCACTTCTTTACTTTTTAAGGTATCAACTTCAAACTTCAAATATATATTTCTTATCATTACACAAGGTGACAAGGTCCATAACTCTAGTGTGACCATTTCCAGAATCTTTCCCACTTGAACTTGGAACTTATGTTAACAACAATAACCTATCAAAAGAAATATATTTATATCATAATTGATATTTTTCATAGATTTGTCTTCCTTATACTGCATCCAGTAATTTAATTAGTCGAGCTTCGCTGTCTTCTGTGACAGCTCTTGTTAAGTCCACCCCTCTATTTAGACCAATTTTTAAAAGAATGGATTTTTCTGTTTTTATTGTAATGGTCACATAATCTACATATAAGACCACCTCACTTTTCCACCTTTAAAACCAACTGAAACCCAAGTTATTGTTTTATTCCTTATCTTACCCCACTACTGATACCATTGATAATCCAGTCGATACTTTACGGGTATTTGTAGGCTAAAAACACATAGGACTTTGTCTTAACACAGCGGTGAAAAGAATTATAATTATAATATTTGTGATCTTACATTTGCATGGAACTACATATGACTATACACACTGGTGAGAGGAATCATAAGTGTGATAAGTGGTTTTTCATTTTCTCAGTTTAGTAGACTAAAAGCACATGGCAAAAGTGTACACTCTGGTAATGAGACTTACAAATGTAAAATATGTGACTATGTAACTATTACTTTAAAAGAAATAGTCTAATATAGCATGTATAGTCTTATAAAGCATATGACAAAAATAATGGATTCTGAAATATGTCATAATTCATTTGCATATAGGAGTGATCTTAAAAAAGACATATGGCAGCTCACACTGGTGAGAAGACTTTTAAGTGTGATACATGTGATAGGTCATTTGTAGGCAAAGGTAACCTTATAAAACACACACATAGAAGTCGTGTACCTATACAGTACACACAAAATCTGAATTAACAATATAGTGAGTCTTGTGTTTCAGATTTTAAGGTTGTGTAAAATATAGTTACATGTATGCTTTGTGTAATAAAATGTGTTCGTAAAAATAGAATATATACACATGTACTTGCTTTTGTTGTATTATTTTCCTTGACAAGCCGTAACTTTACTTGAAAGTTGCATTCATCCAGATGAGCCAAAATGTTTTATTTTTAGAAAAGAAAATTTGATAGAAAAAGGAACTAATTAAGGTTTTAAAGAAAAGTAAAAAGATTCAAGTATTGATTAACATGCTATGTGCGATGTCTCTGGTATTTACTAAAGCAGTAATTTAGGGGTTTTATATAGAGTGATGAATAAAGAATATAGACAGATTGTTGTTGTTGTTTATTACGTAAAAATCATGGTATATCATCTTTAAAACTATGCATGTGTCAATTCTTTATATAGAGATGAATAAAGTATTTAAAAAGATGGGTTATTTATTACGTGTACTAAATCATGGTACTTTTTTTTCTTATTTTGTATTTTTGGATTAATATTTTTAAATGTTTTTTTTTCTTTGTCTTGTTTTTGTATATATATATATCTATATTTAGATTATAAAATTCATAGTTTAAGTTAATTCTTTCCCTTACATATTCTATTTTTCTTTGTATATATATGTCGATTTTATTCCGATTAATAATATTGTTCCTTTTTTAGCATATACAGTACAGTATAGTTTGACATAATAAGTTTGACATAATAAATTAATAAGAAAAATGATTTCATATTTAAAGGCTTCATTAATTAATGTGTAACATATAAGATAAGTTCACCCACGGAATAATATTAAGGGTAGTTCGACGAAACCACTCTCAACCCTGGCTTCCATAACTTTATAGTCGCTGTTGATGCCATTGTTGTGGTTTCGGTACGAATCGATTATGTATGAATCATATTTAGTTAGACGTGATTGACTCCCTTTGAAAATTTTGCACCATTTGTAACGATTTGGGAGAGGAAGAGTTTTTAGTCTTAAATATTGGCAAGGAGGTTTGTAATACAGAATTGTTGCCTATTTTATTATCTTTTGATAACATTTGTCTGTAAAGTATTGTATTGCTGCTTTTTGTTTGATTTTTTTTGTTTCAGATTTCGAGTGTATTGAACTTTACCGAAACCTAGCTAAACACGTTTTCAGGTACGTTACGGATTTAGCTCTGGGGAATTATACCTAATGAAGTACATACTGTATCCCTACAGGGCCAAAACACAATTTTTGGGGAAGGAGCCTTAGCCTTTATCTTGGGGAAAACCGGAAAATATGCGTGATTTTGGCATACTTACGGAAAGGGATCTTAAACTTAAGGTGATTCTGCTTTGTCAGCCATTTTTGTTTTCACTATGTGGGTCCAAAGTGAAAGTAGGCCAAAATTCATATAACAACAAAGCTCACATTGTTATATGATGAGCCATTTGCAAGTACACTTTCAGTTCTATGTTTTAAAGACTATTTTAAACAAAAATAAAAATGATAACAATAAGAAAAATTACCTTGAATGTGCTACATTTCTGAAGACCAAAACATTCTGTTGCAAAGTTTTATGCACATTTCATGAATGGCAAAATTCTTTTTAAAGTCTGTTTTAGTGCCTACAAAAGCTTCTTTTTGCAGAAAATACAAAAAAACTTTAAAAAATATAAACCTTAGGAAAGTAGTTTATCTGACCTTGAAAAAACATGGCCACCATGACATGTGTAAAAAAGTAGTACCATGAAAATAAACATCATTTATCTATCTCTTGTGTACATGACAAACAGACACACTTCACTGTTACACATAAAAAAGGTTAGATTTTAAAGTTTGATTGTGTTTTCATTTTAATTGTAGTTCATAAGGCTATAAATGATGATTGTTTTCTTGCACTACTTTTTTACAAAAAATAATGGAGGCCATGTGCTTAGAAGGACATGAGATATGGATTTATTTGGAGTTAAGTTTTGAAAGATTTTTGTATTTGCTGCAAAAAATAGCTTTTGTAGGCACTAAAACAGACTTAAAAAAGGATTTTGCCATTCATGAAATGTGCATAAAACTTTGCAACAGAATGTTTTTGGTCTTCAGAAATGTAGCACATTCAAGGTAAATATTCTTATTGTTATCATTTTTATTTTTGTTTATAATTGTCCTTCAAATAAAAACCTGGAAGTGTACTTTCAAATGGTTCATCATTTTAAAATAAGAGCTTTGTTGTTATATGAATTTTGGCCTACTTTCACTTTGGACAGACTTTGTGAAAACAAACATGGCTGACAAAGCGGAATCACCTTAACACAAACTTTTAGCAAGTTCTTCAAAATAGAAAATCAAAAAGCACTGGGAAATACTAATAGGGCAATAAAAGACCTTAATTCAACACCATCATTTAATTTTGTTCTAAATTCTATGGGAAATTTCAAGATTGGGGAATTTTGAGGACCAAACTGGGGAAAAAAGAGGCTTGTTTGGTTGGGGAAGCAGCCTATAAGGCTATATTCGGCCTCAACAAAGGCGGCCTATTATGTGATATTTCCATTTTTACAGTGTTTATTCTAGGATTCGAAAAACAGGGGGGATTTTTATCAAAAAGTAAGACTTTATTACATTTGTTGATCTTTTTCCTTCTTTGTCTACGTAAAATTTTCCCCCTTCCTCTAAAATAATAGGGGTGAATTCTCAAAAATATGGGTGTATCCCCCCATCGCCCCTCCTAGAATAGACACTGTTTTAATATGTCATTATTTTACCGTTTATGGTGATAAAACTTGATGTGTTTGAAAATCATTAATGTTCCTGTAATATCTATGGCACATTTTCCAAAAAAACGTTTTTATAATAAAAACTGTAGAATTAAAACAATCGTTGTTGTATCTGCCATAAAAGAGGTATTTTCTGCAGAAACTTTTGTATTTACTTTATTTTTTTTTGTATTGAATTATTCATACAGTGATATTTAATTATTTTCTTACAAAGAAATAATTGTTTTATTACACTTTAGTTTTATACAAATAAATACCAAAAACATACATATTGTTACTACATGTATGCCCTTTAGGTGGATTCCCCAGAGTTGTATGTATACAGAAAGTACTGGAGAACTGCGTTTAGCTGGATTTTCGAATGACTTAATTTTTATCTTTTCAGTTTTCACGTGAGCAATGCAAACAATACAATCAAATTACATAAATGAACTGTATTGAACTCTCAGTGTATTATATTTGTCATTTGACAATAAGCTTGATACCCTGAAAGGGTCATCAGAATACCAGTCAACAATATACATTTCCTATCTAGAGATAAAAGAAATTGTCTGATGATCCAATCTGAATCACTGCAGTGAGTCATGATGTATATTATTGAATATAATCTTTCCCGTTCTTTAAACAGAAACGTTAAAATGTATATTATATGTCTCTGCTTTAAACAAGCTGATGCAAATGCCCGATCAGGCTTATGACATAAAAATCACATTTCTAGCAAAATAATAGAGATATTTCTTGTAATGTTAGTTTGTTTATTGGGCATAATATATGACATAAACAGACAGAAAAAATGATAAAACTAAGAGTTTGCTCTTTGTCTTGTTGTTGACATTTTGACGATTGATGGTGGTCATTTTCAGACCAGCCATAATATTAGTCATAGCCTGTAACAATATCGATTCACGATATCTTACAGGACAGTTTATTAAAAAGAAACAGTTTATTAAAATTTGTGATTTTTATGATAGGAGATGTATAAAGAGCTATAGATGTATTTTAATAATGATGTGTTTATTTGGAAAGCCAAGGGGTATTATCTGTCAAATTAACTCATATATGTATATTTATTATGAATGATATAAAAGAGAGATAACTCTTTATTTGACTTATAAGAATCACAATCATTTGGTAGGGATTATTACTTAATCTATTATTACACAGAAAATACCATTGTATGAGATTTTTTGTGCAAACACTGACTGTTTAAGCTTCACGGTGAATTAGTAAATATCTCCTAAAAAAGATTAAATTTGTATGAAAACATCCGTTACAATGTGGAAATATACCGTTTAATTATGACTGCTACTTATAGCAATGTTTGTTGTTTTGATATTGACGTATAGATGATCAGAAGACGAAGTTTCCTAGCAAATGGAAATTGTACTTCCGATTTCGCCACAATGAGGTTTTAGATTTTTATGGTTAGTTGTCTTGACACCAAAATAAGATCTAGAGTTGATAAGAAAACCAATTTATTGATAAAATGCCACTATTTCTGTTTTCATGAAATTTATTAAATGCAGCTTTAATGTTTCGAAAGGATAAACAGATTTTTTCACTAAGTAAATATATTTCAACAAATGTTTACTAACAGTTGCTTCTTCCTTTCTTTATTTTAAAACAGTGACAACCATGTGGCACTAGCAGAAAAGCATCAACAACAACAAAAACACTGTTGAGCAGCGGTACAGATACAATATGTGTGTGTGGAGAAATATGTTGTGATTTGTAGAAGCATGTGTGAAACCAGTCTTGTTAGAAAACTATTGCTTTGGAAATTGTGATCATTTATTTTCCTTTCTGAATTTTCTAAGTGCACTGAAACATCATTTTTACAAACCAGTGAGTTACAGTTTTATTAGTGAATATTCCTGTATTGGAAAATGGGAACTCACAGTTATGAAGAAATTATTTTATCAATCATTGTAGAAAATTAGTAACCTCAAAATACACTTGTCAATACAGTGTGTCAGTGTGTTTTAAATCATTTCCTTGTTGATTCAATCTTCAAGTATATATAACAATGTCGACTACTGAGGAAAATTTCATATGTAAATTATGTGATTGCTTACTTGCGGATAACAGTAGTCTGAAAATACATATGACAATCGCAAACTAGTTGTCTTAAAACACATAGAACAATGCACACTGATGATAAGAATCATGAATGTGAATATTCAACTTGGCACAAAGGCAATCTTAAAAAGCACATGAATATATATATACATTCGTGAAAAATGATGAATGTGAAAATTGTGAATATTTCCACTTTGCACAGAAGTAATCTTGAAACGCACATGCAAACACATACTGGTGAGAAGAGTTATAAATGTGAACTTTGTCACCGTTCATTTTCTCACAGTAGTAATCTTAAAAGACATATGAAAATACACACTGGTGAGAGAACTTATCAATGTGCAATATGCCACCGTTCATTTTCTCGAAGTAGTCATCTTAAATCACATATGACAATACATACTGGTGAGAAGAATCATAAATGTGACGTATGTCATAGTTCATTTTCTCGAAGTAATCATCTTAAATCACATATGACAATACATACTGGTGAGAAGAATCATGAATGTAAAATATGCCAGCGTTCATTTTCTGATGGTAGTAATCTTAAAAGACATATGAAAATACACACTGGTGAGAAGAATCATAAATGTCGAGTATGTCATAGTTCATTTTCTCAAAGTGGGGATCTTAAAAGACATATGACAATACACACTGGCGAGAAGAATCATAAATGTGAAATATGTCATCGTTCATTTTCTCAGAGCAGTAGTCTTAAGAAACATAATATGATAATGCACACTGGTGAGAAGAATCATGGATGTGAAATATGTCATCGTTCATTTACTAATGGTAGTAATCTTAAAAGACATATGATAATGCACACTGGTGAGAAGAATCATAAATGTCAAGTATGTCATAATTCATTTTCTCACAGTTGGGATCTTAAAAGACATATGACAATACACACTGGTGAGATGAATCATGGATGTGAAATATGTCATCGTTCATTTACTGATGGTAGTAATCTTAAAAGACATATGAAAATACACACTGGTGAGAAGAATCATAAATGTCAAGTATGTCATAGTTCATTTTCTCACAGTTGGGATCTTAAAAGACATATGACAATACACACTGGCGAGAAAAATCATAGATGTGAAGTTTGTCAACGTTCATTTTCTAATAGCAGTAATCTCAAGAAACACATGACAATACATACTGGTGAGAAGCGTCATAAATGTGAAATATGTCATCGTTCATTTTCTCAAAGTGGGGATCTTAAAAGACATATGACAAGACACACTGGCGAGAAGAATCATAAATGTGAGATATGTCCTCGTTCATTTTCTCAGAGCAGTAGTCTTAAGAAACATAATATAACAATGCACACTGGTGAGAAGAATCATAAATGTGAAATATGTCAGCTTTCATTTTCTGAGAGCACTGCTCTTAACAGACACATGACAAAACACACCTGCAAGAAGAGTAATGAATTTGTCCTTTAGAGATCGTTGCAGCCAAAATAGGCAGGAAACAGACTAAAGCCCTCCCGGACAAAATCCCTACAATCAAAAAATGACAAGGTGGATAAAAGCCCTCTGTGAAATGACAGGGCGGACAAAAGCCCTCCTGTGAAAATGACAGGGCAGACAAAAGCTCTCCCGTAAAAATAACAGGGCGGACAAAAGCCCTCCCATGAAAATGACTGGGCAGACAAAAGCCCTCCAGTGAAATAAACAAGGTGGACAAAAGCCCTCCTGTAACAAAAATAAATATGTATGTTGAATAGCTGTGTTTTTATTCAATGCACTCAATATATCAAAATTGTTACATATGTTTCTTGCTGTTCAATTGGCCTAAGAATGTGTATGAGCTAGAACCACCTTTAATTCTGAATATTCCTTCCTGAAATGTTTAACAAGGTATCTTTTTACACGAATGTCGTTAAAAACAAAGTCACTTTTAAAAGTAATTGACTCATTAGAAGGCACATTATAAATGTCTTTAACTTTAAAGTTAGATGACTTTAACTTCTTTTCATCATTTTATTACTCGATTAATATTAACTTCACATAGGAGTAATCCTTCATATCTACGTGAATAAATATGCACTTACAGACTTTAGCACTAATTATTCAGATGCCTCTCAGGAATGTACTCAAGCCCATATACAAACACGGTTATGCCAATGGAAAACAAAAAAAATCATGATTACAATTTCAATATGTTGAGTGCATTGAAAAGATAATATAAACTATTCAACGTACATACCATTGTATATGTATGTGCTGTGAGAGGGCTTTTGTCCGCCCTGTCATTTTCATGGGAGGGCTTTTGTCCACCTTATCATTTTTACGTGAAGGCTTTTGTCTGCCTTGTCAGTTTTTAACGGGAGGGCTTTTGCCCTACACTCAAAATAGGCATATGAATATCGATACTAACAAAATTACATATAAATGCAAATAATACGATTTTGAGTTCTCCAACAGGTGTCTTTAGAAAAAAAATACGAGAACGCAAACTAGTGAGAAATTTTATAAATGTTATGAATCATTTTTTAATGGAAAAAGGTCTTAAATCACATGTTGACATCATGCACATTTGAGTGAATAAAATTGCTTGCAAACTGTTCAATCATACATATTGTTTTGTTGTTTACATTTTGGTATACTGCTGAGACCGGAAGACAAAGTGACACAGCAAAAAAAATATCTTTATAATATAAACTTATTTAAAGTTTGTCATTTATTATCTTAAGCTGTCTCCAGAACTTTGGAGGAATTGCATTTATGTTCACCACTTGTATATTTGTGTTCTGTTTTTGTATGTTGTTCTTATAAATGTATAACTACTGTTTGTGTTTACATCTACATGATACTACTTAACAATCAATTCTGATTATGACTTGCAGGCACATTGTCAGGGAACTGTTAATAAAAGACATTATTTATATGCAAATTTAAAGAATAAAAGTTCTACAAAACTATTAATTAAAAAGACATAACGGTAGTGTGCAATTTAGAATTTAAATAATGGGTCAAGCCTCTCAGTAAAGATGTTAAAACTGGGGGTAGACTTAACAGTTAGAAGAAGGCTTATCCAAAGACTTATGCTCCTAGGAAAGGTATTGTGTCTTTGAGTAAAGAATTAGGTAGTTCAGATTTCTTGTTTGATTAAGGTGTTGGTGATCAACAAAGACAAAGTTGTTTGGATTTTATACAAGTAGGTTACAGCACTGATGTTTCGACACTGCTCAAGGGTTTGCCAAAATTTCGACGCTGCTTAAGGGTTTGCCAAGTTCATTCATAATTTTGAGACACTACTTGTATAGTCATAATCATTAAAAATATATCTAGCAGCTGATATTTGGACTTGCTCTATCTTATAAATTAAGTATTTCTGCCAAGGATGCCAAACTATGGAGCAATATTCAACCCGAGGTCTAACATAGGTCTTATATGCATTCCTTTATCTTTTTATTTGGGGTTTTAACATTTCTTCTAATGAATCTAAAATGCTATTTGCTTTAGATGTAATATTGTTTATATGTTTGGTCTATCTACTAGTGACTCCTAAGTATTTTGCTTTTTGGGTTGAGTTAATTTGAATATCATGGAGGGTATAAGGAAATATTACAGGGTTTCTTTTGAACTTCACATTTATCAGGGTTAAACTCAATGGACCAATCTTTGGACTTGCTCTATCTTATAAATTAAGAATTTCTGCCAAGGATGCCAAACTATGGAGCAATATTCCACCAGAGGTCTAACATAGGTCTTATATGCAGTTTCCTTTATCTTTTTATTTGGGGTTTTAACATTTCTTCTAATGAATCTAAGGGAGCTATTTGCTTTAGATGTAATATTGTTGTTTATATGTTTGGTCTATGAAAAGTCTTGACTAAAAGTGACTCTTTAGTATTTTGCTTCAGATGAATGTCATGGAGGGTATAAGGAAACATTACAGGGTTTCTTTTGAAATTCACATTTATCAGGGTTAATCTCAATGGACCAGTCTCTTTCCCATATTTCTAAAGCATGTAGGTCATCTTGTTTAGATCTGATGTAGACAACAGTATCATCTGCAGAGTCTTACCTTACCTTTGACGGTCGTTTATATAGGACAGGAAAAGGTAGGGACCTAATACAAAGCCTTGGGGGACACCTCAGAGGATTGGTACAATTCCTGATTTTTGACCTTCAACTACAACTTGCTGGGAGCATGACTTAAGGAAGGAATGGACCCAATTTGTAACCTCGTGACTTATACCCAATCTTTCCAATTTACTCACAAGTTTGTGATGGTCCTTCTTATCAAATGCCTTACTGAAATCCGTGACTATGACATCAGTTTGTTGGCCACTTTCAAGATTGTCATGAATTTCCAGGAAGAAGCTTACTAGCTGGAACTCCCAACTCTGTTTTGACCTCAAGCCATGTTAATAGGGGCTAAGGATGTTGTGCTTATTATAAAAGGACATAATACAAAGACGTGCTCCATCAATTTGGACGCTATGTATGTGAGAGATTGTTTATTTGCTATATTTTAAATCACACTAATACTGTCAGTAACATATGACAACTTTTTAGTTTAACTCCTTGTGAAAGATAATTAGATGCACCTTTATACATTGTTTTACACACAAAAGCATAAACACGGAAGAACCACCAACCTCCCATGAGTTAGCTGATTTGGTAGAATCAGTGGATAAAATTCTATAAAAGGAATTGACTGGAAAAATTATTCATCAACGAATGAACGCAATGAGGGAAGCATATTTAATGTACACATTTTTCTCCCTGGACAACATATAATTACTGGTTATTCTATATAATGTGTCACACCATTGACTTGTGTCTTGCATACTATATGAAGATACATTACCTGTGCCTATAGTGGTGTATGCAATTGATCAAGGCCAAGGTCACTGATGGGGAAATATTCTTACGAGTCCTTTCCCTCAAGTCTTTATTTCTTGGCTGATATGTATGTATCTGTTCTGTAGGTACCTCAGATACATGTACACATCATTTCCATGATGCTGTTCTCATTCTGCAGATCTTCCTTTCTATTTTCTGGATGTTTTTGGCCATTTTTCTTTGTCTAACAAAAACTAAAGGAAAAAAGTGACAACACAAGCATTTTTTTACAGCATGTTTATTTGATTCCCTTTATCTTTAAATTCTTACAAGCAGATTTCATATCTTTATAAGCAGTTGTAAGCTGCTAAAAATACAGTCTAATCAAAAATTATCTTTTTCTACCGAAGTTCATCTCTTTTGTAGGGAAGCATTCTATTGGATAAAAAGTGATTGCACAATTTACATTAACCAATCGTCAATGATGATACATCAAAATGTCTGATGGCACAACACAACAATTAGGATACAGTATGAAAAAAAAAAATTAACAGGAAGGGATAAAAACTCAGATAAAACATGAAACACTTGAAATTTCAGACACAGTGGTTTTTATCTTATACATATACATGTATTAGTATTTTGAATGTTTTATATATCTGTAGCAATGTTCAATGTTTATCTGATGACATCTCATAAAAATAGTTAGCAATGTTAACACTGCCTACTAAGGAGTCATTTTTACTTATCAGCTAATCAGACAAAGAATGTAAAGTTCAATAAACCTAAACAATGATATCTTTGGTTGAAAAATATTTACAAAAGTAAAATAAACAAAAATAAAGTTCAGAAGTTGCTAAAAGTAATATTTGTAATGCAACACATGGTAACAATTCAAAATTTTGAAAATAAAACTGTAATTGTTTATTTTCGATAGAATGATCTTATATTACTTTAAATTTGTGTTTTTCGTATAAATTTCAAAAATATGTCAAATTAAGACAATTTATTCATCAATAAAAGTGAAAGAAATTTTGTATATGTTATTCTTTCCTATTATTATCCTTTGTATTTTGTGCATCATGAGTGGATATTGTATGACAGTTTAATGTATGTGAATAAAACATGCAGTGTTCATGGGAAGAATAATAACTGGCCAACATAAAGCAGAAGACAAAACATATATTGTATAACAGGCAAGGTTCTTTAAAAATTAAAATATTTGGCACAATAATATGTTTAACATAAGAAAGCCATATGAGCGGCGTCATGACAAAACCAACATAATGGGTTTGCGACCAGCATGGATCCAGACCAGCCCGCGCATCCGCGCAGTCTGATCAGGATCCATGCTGTTAGCTATCACTTTCTCTACTTGTTATAAGGTTTGTTAGCGAACATCATGGACCCTGATCAGACTGCGTGGTCGCGGACCCATTAAGTTGGTTTTGTCTTGATGCGGCTCATATATAAGTAGATTGGGATCATTGACAGTTACATAAAATCTTGGTTTCTAACAAATAACCCAAAATATTTTAAGACAATATAACTTGAGAAAAATGTATTAAGATTATAAGAAATGTAAAAACATTCAAGATTCAAGTTATACTTTACCAGTTATCTGCGATTAATGACTTATATTTCTACTGTGTTACTAATGCAGTAAGGTTTTTGATTATTCTGACCTCTTTTCCAAGTAGTTTACGTGAATTGTAAGTGCCCTTTACAATGATAATACTTTTTGTTTCCCTATTCACAAAATTTTACTCTTCCTGCGTTTTCAAAATTTTTGTGAAAATTAGCATGAATCTGAATTGAGGCGTGCTGCTTTACAGGCTGGCATGACAATATGAAATGGTGAACTCTGGTGACAGGTCTGATTATAAACTGACCACATTATCCAGTCATTATAACGACCAGCAGATAAAAGGCCGGTTAAGGGAGGCAACTGTCAATGAACCCAATCACAAAACTTTATTTGTGGCTTCTAAAAATCATACACATATAAAATTAATATTCAATACAACATCACTGAGATAATGAGATAAAAACAAAATGTAGATAATATAAATGATATATGAATAAAATGTGTATAAATTAGATACAACCTAATAAAGTTACACTGTAGTAAAAGGTATTATAATAATTGTTCACAAAATGCCTCCTTTGTAAAAATCGAATAGTACATTGCATTTAAAAACATCATTTAAAAAAGAGATGTCAAAATGCCTAGGTGATCGTAATTAACTGTAATTTGTTTCTTAATTTTTTAGTATGGTATATTTTAACAAAAATATTTATGAAAATCTGACAATTTTTAAATTTTACCTTGTAATTCTTTAAACAACACTAAGTCACTGTTAATGTACATGTATACAGCACTTTTTTAATACTCTCACTTTTGCTATAATAAATGTTTAATATATGAAAGTAACAGGTGTATCTGTAAGTTTATCACATAAAAGCAAATGGTGGAACCAGATTTCTTAATAATAATAAAAACTATTTATAACCAGATATGAATATGCACAACCAAAATGTCAAGCCCTATTATGTTATTGGTATAATAAAATCTAACTTTCCATCAACTTGCTTTTTTACAAACTTACTCTACTTTAGACAGTTGATTGATTTAACTTTAATAAAAAATTTAAGAAGTTTTATATCAAAACTTTAATATGTTTTTATAACTTGTCATTTCATAAAAATCTAGTAAGTTGTTTTTTCCCTAGGACACAAACATTGCCCCGGAAATCAGCCATACTTGTTTCAAAGTTTAGTTTTAACTGGATAAAATTCAACCAATCAAAGACCAAGTAAAAATTAAATCAACCAATTAAAAAGAAGATAACATAACTAACAAGAGACTAAATAGAAGGCTGTTTCTTGAATCTGTGTTGAAAAGGGTTTTTTTTATGACATTAACAGTTAAACTTTAGACACACAAGCAGACTTAAAGCATTTTATCATACACAAATATAGCAGGAATGTAATTAACCAAACCTAGTCTAAAGAAAGTACAAAATGCATATATATTTGTAATATAGAATATAAAACAACATAACATCTGTATCATTAATGAGTTTCCAACAAAAATCTTAACAACAATTTCTATTGGTTTTTATTCATCTTTGTATAAAATATTTCCTCCTCACATGGTTTTCTGTTAAATGATAAATATTTGGGCTTTAAAAATGGTCAACTTCTTATCATGTTCTATATACAATTACATGTATACATTTTCAAAATTTGAATTATCTTCTCTATATATTGCAAAATTTAACACTGTAAAACTATGCAACATTGTATATTGCTGCTCAGTGATCAAAACAAATTAATTCAACAGATTTTAGTTGGAAACAAGATTGCATTTGAGAAAAATGCTATGCCACCGCATTAATACAACACTAAATAGTGGTGTAGGAATAGATTTTTTTTGTTTCTTTACAATTGAAGATTGTCATAATGCATAGATCCCTGACCTATCTAATTCTTATTATCAGATTAGTGGTTAAATATATTGTTATTCCAATAAAAGATCAGAGTAGGAATATACCAATGCACTTGAGTCTAGTGAATTCGGTGGTGAAGGTCATATTTCACACAGCTTAAATTTCACGACTACATCAAAGGACAACACAGAAAGACACTTTGTCAAAAATCTAGGTCAGCTGATATCAAAGTTCACTTTACATCTTAATCTGTGCACATGGTTTCATAGCTGTACATCAAAGGACAAGAAAGTAGGTCACATCAAATCAAAATCTAGGTCACCTGATTAATAAAGTTCAATTTACAACTAAAACTGTGCACATGGTCAAAATTTCATAGCTGTACATCAAAGGACAAGAAAGTAGGCACTGTCCCCTTGGGGCAAGGCCAAGGGTTTCATTCAAACAATCTTGATACAGGTCCACAAACAACATTTTAAGTCAAATATCTAAGCTGTAGCTTTCTTCCCATTTTTACTATATACATTTAAGGAAAAACCTATGGCCCCAGGGCAGGGCAATTTTGACACTAGTGGCAAAATTTGAAACAACTTTTGTAGAGTACCTTTAGATGATATCATTTAACAAAAATTTAATTTAAAGCTCTAAGCCTTGTACCTTCAGACAATAAGATTTTTTTTATTTTTACTATATGTATATATTGTAAAATCAATGACCCCCAGGGCAGGGGCAATTTTGACCCCAGGGCTATAATTTGAACAATCTTGCTAGAGATTCTCTTTCACAATGTTCATGCAAAATATCTTACCTCTAGCATTTGTCAATTGCTAGAAGATTTTTTTTTTAAGTTTTTACTATAAGTTTTTACTCTATACATATAAGGAAAACCTTATGACCCCCGGGGCGGGGCCGTTTTTTGACCCCAGGGCTATAATTTGAACAATCTGGGTAGAGGTTTACCAGACAATGCCTTATGCAAAATATCTAAGCTCTAGGTCTTTTGGGTCTTTACAAGAAGATATTTTAAGTTTTTACTATATGTACATATAAGTGAAAATCAATGACCCCCGGCGGGGCCAATTTTGACCCCAGGGCTATAATTTGAACAATCTTGCTAGAGATTCACTTCACAATGTTCATGCAAAATATCTAACCTCTAGCATTTGTCAATTGCTAGAAAAAGTTTTTTTTTAAGTTTTTACTATAATTTTTTACTCTATACATATAAGGAAAACCAATGACCCCCGAGGCGGGGCCGTTTTTGTCCCCAGGGCTATAATTTGAACAATCTGGGTACAGGTTCTACCAGACAATGCCTTATGCAAAATACCTAAGCTCTAGGCCTTTTGAGGTCTTTACAAGAAGGTATTTTAAAAGTTTTTACTATATGTACGTTATAGTGAAAATCAATGACCCCCGGGGCGGGCCAACTTTGACCCCAGGGCTATAATTTGAACAATCTTGGTAAGGGTCTACCAGACAATGCCTTATGCAAAATATCTAAGCTCTAGGCCTTTTGAGTCTTTACAAGAAGGTATTTTAAGTTTTTACTATATGTACATATAGTGAAAATCAATGACCCCAGGGCGGGGCCAATTTTGACCCCAAAGCTATAATTTGAACAATCTTGGTAGAGGTCTACCAGACAATGCCTTATGCAAAATATCTAAGCTCTAGGCTTTTTGGGTCTTTACAAGAAGATTTTTTAAATTTATTCTTACAATTTCTTTTGGTTGCCATGGCAACCAGATTTCTGCATGGAATGAAATTCTTTGAACAACTTTGGAAGTCCTTCACCCAAGGATCAATCCTGCCAAGTTTGGTTGAAATTGGACAAGTGGTTTTTCACAAGAAGATTTTTTAAGTTCACTATATAATCTATATAACACACAAACAAACAAACACACACACACACAGGTGAATCGCTATATGCCACCGCATCGCAGATGCTGCGGTGGCATAAAAAGGGAGACAAATATTGATATCAAATTACAAAAGGGAGACAATTCTCAGATCCTTTAAAAGCCAAAATGGTGTGCAAATTGTTCAGGGGGGATTACTGCTAGTCATAATTGAGATATATTGTACCAATATTTACAATATTTATCATTCAAC